AGCAAGCTTCCTGCGTCTATCGCATAGATGTATATTAAGCCTTAGAGTGTATTCTCTGATGAAAAGACCCGCGATCGTTCGTCAGCACCGTCCGTGGTTTCTCAGCTGACTAATTAGTCGGTCGATTTTGCTATACGCGACGCACGCATGATCGGCACGGTAGATAGAAAAAAAAAATAAATAAATAAGGGGACGCGTGCGCGCGCGAAAGGAGGAATATCGGTGGTTTATCGATCGAGGGGGTAATTATATGCGGTCGATGTTAAGAATCCCTCAGAGAGACATAATAATACTTAATACTCGGAATATTACGCTACCGATACGCGGCACAGAACTTGCGGTAATGTCATCGGTGGCGGATGTAAGAGACGCACTTGTCGAGCACGAAAGGGCATTAGGTAAAAAAGAAAAAGAGAAAAAAATACGCATTAGATCGCTAAATATTAAATGAACGAGATGTGGCATCGTTAATATTTGATCTTTAATATTACGAGTATAAATTATATATTCTTCGCGCAATGGAGATTACGTTTGAAAAGAGAAGAAACATAAACTGCGAAGAAATATATCGCGCAGAAAAAAATATAAATTGTACAAATATAATTGTTGTTAAAAATTTGACGCAATATTACAATGTGGACGAAAAAAAATATAGAATATTTTTATGTGGCAGTATACCACCATGCTACGATGAATAAATTGTTTTATTTATTCAGTTATCTGACGCACACTACACAGCTATCGTAACATCCGCCACTGAATGTCATCCTCCGGCTTGTATGCAGAAAATATTGAAAGGAGAAAATATTGCACGTTCACGTACAGATATTTGGACGGCTTTCGTGAAGGCTTTTCATAAAAGGGAACAAAACTCCATCCTCTGTAACAAGTTCGTGATAAACATTCGAGATAAACATTCATACTTTTTCCTCGCGAGAGAAAGAAAATGCGAAGTGATTCTTGGTGCAACACGTTTTTTTCATTTGTTTCAAGATATTAACTCGTGAATAACCTTGTCAGTAAATTTCGCAGGACATAACTTTTCATTTTCAGTCCCTCCCCCCCCTCCCCCTCGCGTAATTACGCCAATTTATCGCTGACCTACAAAACAGACTTGAAATATTCATGTCTCTCGTTGTTGATTTTTCCCACCCACACACAAGCAACACGTGTGCACGGATACGCCAAATAACGAAATACGCATTTCGTTTTCCGCTCCACGTCCGGATTTTCATGTCCAACTGAAGACTGAGCTTATTCTGAGCTTCGGTCAGTCACCTTTACTCCAAATACACTTTGCTGTCGATAGATCATGATACGAATCCATATCGCTAACTTGCACTTACGTCCCGCACTTGAATGCGATACCTGCGACCTTTCTTCCCAAAACTCATTGACCCGAAAAGGAAAATGTTAAGCTAAAAGAGAGTGCTCATGACACAAAAACAGATTTTTTTTTTCCGGTTTAATGCAGTCGATCGCGAATTATATTTTTTTATTGAAATGTTTTTCCTGAAGAGATATATCGGAAATGCACTCTTCACCTTTCCAATTACGGCGCCATCACCTTTCGAAGCTTAATTGCACTTGCATCTGACACCAATAAAATTTTGTTTCATCCTTACCGTTGGATATACTAGCATAATTAAGGCGCGGCAACGAATCGGAATATCCGCTTTAATCTTTTCCGCCGTTATGAGATTTAATTAGCTTTAGAAATATTCTTTTAATTTCAAGATATCCCTCTATTAATTCCTCTCTCTCTCTCTCTCTCTCTCTCTCTCTCTCTCTCTCTCTCTCTCTCTCTCTCTCTCTCTCTCTCGAATTTTTAGCCTTATTCTCATTTGCAAATACCTTAGCCAATTTGAATCTTTCGATTCTGTGTAATTGATGTAATATATCGTTGCATTGCGTTACCATCACGTTACATATTATATAACATATTTATACATAACATTCCCTCCTTCCATCTCTTCCGATCGATGACTCCAGATCGGGTCCATGCATAACGAGAGGCGCGGAACGGAGTCGGATTAGCGTCGAGAAATCCATCATTCTGGGAAAGCGTTTTCAGAGAAATGCGGCCGTATTGTAATTAATCGATGTATTTGGATTCGCCCGTCCGGACGTGGGGACGCGGCTATGGTGTGTGTGTGCGCGCGCGCGCGCGCGCGTGTGTGTGTGTGTGTGTGTGTGTGTGTGTGTGTGCGTGAATACGTGTGCGCCGTGTACCAAGTGCCACGCTCGTGCGACCGTAATATTCGGAAAAGCTAATTCACCGTTTATATGACAAATGGCGCTGAAAATATTTCCGCGCTTTCCACGTTTAGGCGCGTTCAACGTGCATTTTCCGATATAGGCTCGCGGCGGATACAAAGCCCGCCGATGAGAAAGCATATAACTTCATAAAATAGTTAACACGGCCGCGGGGGGGAGGGGAGGGATTAATTCTCTGTGGCGCGAAATAATATATCGATGGCGGGACCGTCGAAAATAAGAGCGCGTGCTCGCGTCATCCCTTTTTTCCCCCCCCCCCCCCTCCAGTCAGGATTTGTACAATACATTTTGTACAATAAACGATTCGCGATTCCGTCGACAATAAAAGCTTTTAGAGAACAATAGCCATGGTAATTACATTTTAAAACTTTGTATTAAAGTGGTTTCCACATTGTTACAACGAAATAGTGAGTGTGAAATAGTGTTTGTTTTTCCTTCGGCGCCGCCAAACATTGTCCGACGTAATAACCAATCTGCATTGCTCGCGATCTTGCAGTAGTGAAATGTGTGTATGTATTTCTACGTGTAAAATCATATCTCTCGTTACGCGCGTGTAAAATGCGTGTAATTGTCACAAATCAGCCTGTCAGAGTTATCTATTTAACTTAGGGGGGAGGAGAACGGGGGAATTAAGTTACACATTTGCATTTTAATGTTACGTGCCGTTTCCCTATTAAAGAGAATACAAACCGGGATGCCGACGACGAGAGACGTACTTTAACGACGAGGAGAGACGTAATAATAATAAATCCGCGGCTTCGAGAACTGGGTGCAGCATCGATTCCTCCTTTAATTCAAGTACAAATTTACGGATATCCGAGTTCGCCGTTCTCAATAGAGGGTTAACAGATACGTCGTTCCCCCCCGATTTATGAGCGTAATACGTTCCACCGCGTCTGATTTACGAGCGCAATTTTTTCTCCGAGGCACGCGTCGCCCCGCGCGCGCGCGCTTAATTTCACCCTTTCGAGATTTTCACACGTCGCAGGATATACGTGTCGGGCATAAGCCCAGAATAGAATCGAATCACATCGAAATTAAACTGTCGAGCTCGTCGCCAGCGAAGCGAGACTTACGTAACGCGTCCCTTAAAGCGCGCAAAATACAAACGCGTACCTTTTTGCATTCCTCCGCTCGTCGCCTCGTCTCACCTCGTTCCTTTTGTGCGTTCCTCTTACAGATGTCCGGAATTTTACGGGAAAAAAAAAAAACGGAAAGGGCGATGACGCTTCTTCGAGAGCGTAAGAACGTATCGCGATAGAGTAACCGGAGACTTCGTGTATGATGGAGAGATTGATGCGTAATATATAAGGTAATGGGGAAAGTTTACGTGATAGCTTATTGCACGATAAACGACATCTCGAGTTCGGTGCAAACTAAGTTTACGCTCTCTTCGCTTGTTAAACGTAATCATAATCCGCATTTTTACAAGAATAATCAAACTACGTCATTCCGTGAGTCGCGAGTTTGGATGAAAGGTGAACAAATAGAGATAGAAAACTGTTATTAAGACGAATGAAATTGAAGTATATTTGGAGATGATAAGATCCTTTTTTAATGCATCAATAAATAGCGTTACTATTTTGACAAAAATTGTTATAAAAATTACGTAAAATTCTATTTCATTTTTCATCTACAAATTAAATAAGTGAAGAAAATAAGTAAGAAATGTAGAGAGAGAGAGAGAGAGAGAGAGAGAGAGAGAGAGAGAGAGAGAGAGTAGAGTAGTAGACGTA